AAGGTATTAATTTAGCCGCTGATACTAAAATTCGTTTTCAAATTTTAATTATTCCGTTAGGCAGAAATGTTCGGAAAATGATTTTCTCGCATGACTTCAGCAGAAGCCATTGTTACAAATAAAACTGTAGACTGTTCTTTTTCAACTTATACTGCACATTCAATTATTTTTTACTAGCTCAAAGATCACAAAGCTATCTGAAACCCCGCGTTTGCTTTGTTTATGTTTGTGCTTTTAAAACGCGTTTCTATAGAGTAAAAAAATTTTAAATCAATGGTAATTTAAATAAATAAAAATAAGAAACTAAAAATTAAAATCAATAGATAAAATTTCTTTTTCGTGCAAATCCATAAAAAGTTAGATATTAAAATTACATTTGATTTTAAAATAATATTATACGATTATATTATAAAATTATATTATAATATTCTTCCGTATTTAAAAATAAATTAATGTCCGTAACTTTCAAAATTAAAAATAATTAAATAAATAACAACAATTTTGCAAAAAAATTAAAGAACATAAGAATATTATTCAATAAAATTTTAGGTTACTTTGAATTTTCGATTTCCTAGAAATGTACTTTTAAATCGTTACTTTTTTTGTTTAGTACTTGTGCTTTTACTTGTACTTTTCACTTGTTATTTTAAAATAAGAACTTTTTACTTTTTACTCGTTACCTTTTTTAAAAATACTTGTACTTTTACTCGTTACTCTTTAAAAGTAACGTTGCCATACATGGTCGTTACTAAACACCCGATCCAATTTGTTGGGTTTACGACTACTAATGTTCAACCCCATAGTTTTGTAATTTTGAACCCAATCCAGATGACAAGGGAATTCCTGGATTAAGTATTGGGAAAAATTTGCCTTCGTGGAGGACTTTTTGATGGAACTAACCCGCATTTGTGTTTCACGGAGAGGAAAACCACGAAAACATCCCAAGGTTAGCTAACGGTAAGGGGATTCTAAACCATGATCCACCTTCTACTGAGGATATCTTATGTCAGCACTGTGGTCGATACAAGCCGTATGAGGAATTCGAATCAACCAGCTATCGCTGGGATTCGAACCCGGTTGGTCAGTAAAAGGCGAACGCTCCAGGGCTCGATTTTTTAAAAATTGGCTTTATTAGTTCAAGGAGAAGGGAGAAATACACAAAAAGTAAAATTAACATTAAGATTCCTAAGCTTTCGTCCACTCTCTTGCGCTTACCTTTTGGAATCATATTTTCCAGATGATTTCAGCTGTCCTCCATATTTATCAAGAATCTGAATCCATCGAAAAAATGCATGTTTATTCAGACAAAGTACGCTTTTGTGTCTGATTTCAAAATTTAAAATAGCGTCTGCTCTTGCTAATCAGCAAATATAAGGTAAGACTATTGGTCCATTTGGATTGAATCATAGTACGTGAAAGCCCAATCATTAGATCAAAAGTTATTCGGGGTATTTGCTTTTTATTTTGCGCTCTGAACATTAATGGAAATTTTTAATGTTATTTAAATTCATTTATTATTCCTTCGAGTTTTTAATGCAATATCTCATAAATGTCAATAGTTAAATGTTTATTTCTTATATATTTGAATATAGAAAAATCTAAATTTAAAAGAATTTAAGAAATAAAGACAGGTCTAACCCCTTCAAGGCCAGTGTCTTCGTCTCCAATAAAAAGACAAATTACGCTATTAGAATAATTACGAATTACGATAGATCAATTGAATTAAAGATAACAAGATAGTATAAAGATATTTTGCCAACTAGACTGAACAATTATACAAAGATGTTAATATTATCACAGAAAACCAGTGTGACATGCTTTCGTATGAAGTTCAGGCTTATTTAGTTCATGGGGTTCCTGGGCAATATCTTTGGGACACCTACTATCTCCCGGGTGGGAGAGGAGGAAAAAACTGAGCTATGGATCTAGACACTTTTTTATATTTTTAAATCTTTAAAAATTTCGTTAGAAAAAAGTTACTTAAATAAAAAAAGATATGTTCTTTCACTAAGTTCTTCAACTGCTAAATCATCCTAAGGAGAACTGCATCAGCCTATAAAAGACGGTAATAATGGACCTATGTATACTTTACAGCAATTAAAAATGCAACTGAAAATTGTTACTTAAGTTCTTCAAATATTCTATCATTAATAAGCGAAAGTAATGAAATAAAAGACTGTTGAGAAATAATTAAAAAGACCTATTTCATTAAGTTACTTAAATAAAAAAATATGTTCTTTCACTAAGTTCTTCAACTGCTACATCATTCTACGGAGAACTGTATCAGCTTAAAAACAGGCTTTAAAAATAAGGTAGTAATGGATCTATGTATATTATACTTCAATAAAAAATGCAACTGACAATTGTTACTTAAGTTCTTCAAATATTAATAAGCAAAAGTAATGAAATAAAAGACTGCTAAGAAAAAATTAAGTAGACATTGCTGTATGTTTCATATCACAAAAGTATTAAAAATGAGAAAGAGAAATGTTACATCTTCTAATGTGCTTATTGTTACGCCATCGTTGAGAGAGGAATATAAGACAAATATGACAGCATAAATTCATTAAAAAATGTTTTTGAAATACGTTACTTAAATAAAAAAAAGATGTTATTTAATATGTTTTTTAACTGTTAAATCATCTTTTTTTATTACCGGTGTTGAAAAGCCAACCCAATTCTGAATTTACGACTATCAATGTTTAACTCCTTAGCCTCGTAATTTAGAACTAAACTCAAAAGACAAGGGAACCCGCTGATGAAACATTTGGATTAACTAGCCATCGTAGAGGACATTCTTGATGAAACTAATCCACATTATGTGACATGGAGTCAACCAGCCACCACTGGAATTCGAAACTGGGTCACCTCATTAAGAGGAGTACGCTTTATCCCATGAGCCACCGTGACATTTACATCATCGCTTAGGATAAATGTAGAAGATAATGACAGACAGAAAAGTTTTTATTTCATTAGCAAAAAATATATAAATAACTGAATAATACTTAGCATTGCCTTCAATAAAATTTCATTTCATTATCTTTAAAAGAAGAGCGTAAAAATTAAACGCAAGCATGAGGAATGAGAAGAAAAAAATATATAGGTTTACGACTATCGATGTTCAAGTCCATAGCCCTGTGATTTTGAACTCAATCCAGAAAACAAAGGAATTCCTGGATCAAGTATTGGAAAAAATTTGTCTTCGTGGAGGATTTTTTTATGCGACTAATCCGCATTTGATATGGTTTTGATTTGATTTGTTACATGGAGAGGAAAACCCGAAAACCTCTCACGGTTAGCTTGGCGGCAAGGGAACTCTAATCCATGATCCGGCTACCACAGAGGATATTTTTCGTCACCACTGTGGTCAGTACGAGTCGAGTGCGGAATTCGAATCAACTAGCCATCGCTGGGATCCGAACCCAGTTCGAGCGCTCTATAGCCTGAGCCACCATGGCTCTGTAGCTTACTTTTGTCGTAAAGCTACATTTTTTTCCGTTCCATATTGTTTCCGGTTCACTGCTATCATGCACTTCATCAAATCCATATTTACACATAAGCATAAATCATAGAACAAAATTCTATGGAATTCGTTAAATTCACCATCTGGTCAATTTATTTCTTATCTATTTAATTGTATTTTGAATTGTGGAATTCCATTATTGTCAGTTATAATTTGCAAGATATCAATAGAAAATACTTTGTGTTCATTATTTCACGCGGAATTAAACACTCCAGGAATTAAGTTTCACACGCCTAAATTGATCTATAACTAATCTGGCTTGAACATTGGACTTATGGTCAGAAAACATAGGCTCATTTTCTCCCGTCAGACCGGGTTTGAAAAATCATCTTATGATCACATTTTCAAACGTCTTAGGTAATGATGTATAAATGAAGAAATAGTTAAAAAATTAGGATTTGCTACTGCACTTTATGTCATCATTGTCATTGTGCTCATTATTTTTCCCAGATCGTAAATCCTCCATGTACTAAATGGAGTACAATTAAAACCTTCAATAACGAAAAATATTTTAAAAACAGCGGTTGAAGCTGAATTGTTCTGATTCTAACTTATCGAAACCAATTTATGGAAATTAGAAGAAAAAAATTCTACTTTAAAATATTATATACAACTTATCGCTTCTGGAAATTATTTTTAAGTAATCAAAATTATTTCGATTTGTGTTCTGAATGGATTTAAGGTTTGTATTTTTGGTGAATGGGTTAAAATCCAAAATATTATTAATAATTTAAAAAAGTAGCAAATAATTAATTTAATTTCCGTTATAAATATCTTTTTTTTTAATGAAAAGACGTTTAATATTGCGTATGCATACGTTGCTAAGGAGACCGCTGCTGCTTGAAAATTCTTTAGAATTATTATTTTTTTATTAATTTATTATGCATTGATTTGGTGAGTTTATTTTTGAGATATAGGACCAGGGAAATCCTATAAAATACTTCTCGAGTTGTAAATAAAAGAGAATTTCATTTTTTGAACTATGTTTTTAATTTTCTTGTTTTAATTAAAAATCAGAAATTCTAACCTACAGTTCAATGGTTCATGTAGATTTTAAACATGGATTACTTCAAACTATTCAAGAATAAACAGGTATTAATAGCATTCCTCTTCTCAATTCCAAGGTACTAAATATTAAGTATTCTTACATTTTCAGTGCATCGTTTAAAAATAAAAAATGACATTTTTTTCAAACAGTCAAAACACCGCTCTTCACAGCATAAGATATCCCAATCTAGTTAAATACAAAAATATGTTTTCTCTTATCATTTGGTTGTCAAGGCGACTAGACCATATTTCTTTTCATTCCCTTTGTTTTTCCAAGTTAACTTGCGCCCCTGGAACGACTAGAATTGAGATGTGCCGTCAAATTAAGTTTGGTTCTAGCAAAACAAAAGCTTTTTAAGAGATAATATTATAATCGATTTAAACAAAATAATTGCTTGAAAGCAATAAAAAGAAGCGTCGTTAAACTTACCCTCGAAAATCGTGTATTTTGGACTGCTTATTTTTCTCCATTCAGTTTCTTGACTTGAATGACACATCTCACTCATGCTCAAATCCACAGCATGGACTCGTTTCAAAGTGACATCTTTTTTAATGGTTGAATCTACAAAGTCCATTGATCTCCAACGATCGTTTGATTTGTCTACATTTAAAAAGCAAAATTCTAAAACATAAATAAAAAAAATATTGAATAAAATTAACATGAATGTAAAGATACTTCTAGATAAAATATATATGACAACAACAATGCAAAACAAATAAACATTTAAATCATTTAAATCGCTTGAAGTAAACACAAAAATTTTTATAGTATTATTTGCATTGCATTAAGTACAAACACTTCTTTAGGATTGAAAATATGCTTAAAGAATTGCTTCTTGAAATCTAACATACGTTTAATTGAAGAATTAATTATACAAAACAGAAAATCATTTAACAGTGTCTATAATCATTTATATCAATCAACACACAATCTAATCATTTATATCTTTATATCTGTTACAGATTAATGGAAATACGTAAAATATTTACTAAATGTATATAAGAATATACAGAATATATATAAAGAGTGTATTTTTAAAATAAGCCTCTTTTAAATTAGAAATATGTCAAAAGAAATGCTCCAGATATCATATACTGCATAACAGAAAAAGCTGAATTAAAAACTTAATTTCTATTAAAAATGTTCAAAGTACATATCAGTTTTAGAAATCGGATCAGCATGCCTACTATGGGCAAATTTTATATTTTTCAATGAAAAAACTTTGTTGACTTCAAAAATAAAGGTGGAAAAAGCCGTCACGTTTAGAGAGCTCAAAATAAATCATCCATTATCAAGATCAAGATACTTCAATGATGAAAATAGAACATATTTGAAAAAATGAAGGCTAAGTTGTAAAATAAAAAATATATAAAATGAGGGGTGGGGGAGATAGCTGAGGGGAATGATATTGACCAAAATTGACAAATCAGTCGATAATGCATTTCAAAGTGGCAAGACACTGATGACAATGGAATCGCCATCATTCATGAGAAGATTCCATGATTCTAAAGCATCCTGATGAACTTATCTGTCAGAGGTGGAAAGAATTTTGGTGTTACTGATGGCGTTATTATGCCAAAGGCTCCAACCAAGTCATTCAAATATCTCATGAAACACGATAACAAGCTTTTGCATCTGTCTAATATTTATGGGCAATTCAAAACACCAATCGAAAATTGGAAAAATAGTCAAAATATTTACCAGAAAAATAGTCTTCCTTCCGATTTCTCAAATTAAGAAGTCCAGTTGTTTTTTCTATCTCGTGTAGTTTGCCAAAATCTTCCCCCTGATTCTTATTATACCTGCTAAAGCTATTTCGGAAACGATTAACATCGATTGTTTTGGTTAATCCACCCATTTGTGGCATAGATTGGCATCTTTTAAGGCTCAGATACGCTTTGTCCTCACCACTGCACTTCACATTTTCTCCTCTCACACCTTCAATGATATTTATAGATCCTACGAAAAAAATTTAAAAACTTAAACCGTATTTCAAATAAAGTACTTACTTGTAAAGTTAAAGCTTTACTTAAAACCAACTTTTTAAATTGATGCGGCAGCAAAGAGAGCGATTTAAAAAGTATTTCTAAGAGTCAATGAATAACATTTATTGCTTTAAAGGCGCAATAACACCCAGTAGTACTCAGTTTTCAAATTAAAACGAATATTAAAAAAATAGACTTAATTTTCCAAAAAATCTTGTGTTCTAGAAGATTCCCATTATCCCTCCATACACACTCTATAAAGCATCTGTTAATAGAGATATTTCAAATTCTCGTGTCGCATCACGCACGCTCTCCTACGCTGGTACGTATTACGCAAAATCTGTAGTGAACCAAGGTTGCTTTGTGGTAACTACCCTATCAACAATTTTACCTTGAGCCTAGTTGGGGTCCAAATTGGATCAATATGGGTCTAATATGAACATACACCGAGAGATCAATATTGGCATGCCTAGAATTTTTAATTTTGGTCTTTTATAGGTCAAATATCGGCCTTTATGTGGCCAATATAGGGCTTATATTCGCTGAATAATGAATATAAAATATCGGTTGAACCTGACAACTCTATACAGGGCTGATATTAGTTGTGAAGTGGCTATAAAATATCGAGTGAATCGGACAATTCTATATAAAGTTAATGTAGGGAAAATAACAGCCCTTTGAACCCGTAATGAGCCAAGATTCTTGAATGTTGATCCAATGAGGGCCCAAGTTATGTTGCTGCTAGGGTTTGCTGTGCAAATCTTATGTTCGTGAGCGTGCGAGATGTTACTTGAGAATGTGAAATCCCTCTAATATTACATTATCTGTTACAGCATCTCTCCAGGAAGTTGAAGTAACTGGTGTTGTTTTAATAAAATGTCTTTACAGAATAAATACTTGCACTGCCTCACTGCAACCATTCAAAATTTTGGAAGATTTAATATTTTTTGTCTAGTGACAAAAATGTTTTATATGCTTTTCGATTTCTTTTTTTATGACCAGGAACGAAGAAATTTATTTACTTTTTAGCATAATTTAAAAAACTAAACTACCCAGAACATATTCCTAAGTTTTCTCCAAGAAACTTCAAGCATGTAATTCACGCATATAAAATTTTCAATAGATTAGTTTTATGTAATGAAACTTAATTTCACATGCATGAACATGTAAAATTAAGTAAGTAATGTTAAATATGATTTAAAAAAGGTGCAAATTTATTACAACATCCAAATACAGTAATTTCCTTTTGGAGAATTAAATTGTTTATGAAAAATCTATCTACAACTAATTCATTGTGGTATCTTTAACCACTCACAGCCTTAAAAAGTTGGAGGAAGGTAAGCCCTTCTTCAATGCCCAACAAACCTAGAAGTGATGCAGTTGCGGCCTTCCGTTTATACACGGGTCATGATTGCTTCTCTGCTCATCTGCATCGTATAGGCCTTTCCGCCACGCCTTTTTGTCCACTTTGTGATACCGGAGAAGAAATGTGCGGAGACCATTTGCTTCGATGTGGGTCTCTAAGTGGACACACTGAGTTCTCAAGGTATTGGGAAGCAAGAGAACTTTTAGGGCAATGACTTCAGTCTTGTTTTGTAATCTCATGTACATACTTTTGTATTTTTTATCTTTTTAACTACTTGCACTTTTTGTCTTGCCATTGGAAATAAAAGAAAAGTTAAATACGATGTTAAATAAATACAGTTACGTATGATGCTAAGTAAGTGAAGTTGCGTATGATACTAAGTAAGTAAAGTTAAGTATAAGTATGATGAGTTAGGTAAATAAGTTAAGCATGATACGACAAAATACCTGCTTCTCTATCGTTCTTTAATGTTCCCCCAAATTCTTCTGAAATGACATCTTTTCGTTGTTGTACCAAGCTATTTTCATTGCCTGAAAAAGAAGTACCTTATTTTTTCTACAAATCTGTCAAAAGTATTTTTAAGGTTGGCTATTTTAAGTCAATGCAAATTCTGTCAGGAAAATGAAAATTTATAGCACAAATATTTTCATGTAATTTGAAAGGATCATAGGGATCCTTCTTCTTCCTTATCCCCAAAGTTAGTAGGGCTAAACAGTATCCATGAAACTCATGACCCGGAGGAAGTCGACCACCAAAAGTGGGTTATTCAGAATGTCCCCTTTGTCTAGACCAAGATAGTCCCGGATATGTTGGGGAGAAGCCTGCATGTTGTGGCACTTGGGGCAGTTTGGGTAGGTTTTAACACTACCCACGAAAGAAAGGGACCAATGCGATAAATACTGTATGGAACTGAGACTGTCAGAGAGTATCCAGATGTTATTGTGATCCTGTAGTGTTAGAAGAGAATCCAGAGCAGTATCAACAATGAGTTCACTTCTAAAAACTGAGCAGTAATCAGGATTCCTTTTGGAGATGTTAAGGGAGTAATTACTTGATTTAATGTAGACACCGCTGCCAGATGATGATGTGTGCGTCTTGCTTCCGTCTGTGTACACCAGTATTGATTGTTTGGGGATGGAATTTATAACCTCCAAAGCAAGTTGCTTAAGCAATACCGGGTGCTTGTTAACTTGTGATGAAAGGTGTTGATGGAAATAAACACCAGGAAGTCCTTCAGATGGGTCAATAATTTGTTTATTAAGGCAATCCTCAACATTACCAGCAAGAACGTTAACTACGGCCTGGCTAAATGATTCTTCTGAGACATAGGGGCTGTAGGTCGGCCTCAAACAAGACGATGTCATTTGGGCAACTGTTTCTTAGTCCAGTAATAATGCGGACTGCAGAAAGCTGGACTCGTTCAAGACGTTGTAGGTTTGAAGCAGATGCACAACTATAAACTGGTGCTCCATATTCCAGGATTGGTCTGATGAGAGCAAGATATGTGACTCTTAAGGTGGTAACGTCAGCACCCCAATCTCGTCCAGCAATGTACTTTAAGATTTTAAGTCTCTTCCTACTTTTCAACACTAAGTTGTTTATATGCTTATTGTTGGTGAGTTCAGGATCTAAGATGAAGCCCAAATAGGGGGCCTTTTTTAATTGATGTAATTTTTAAAAATATGGTTTAGCTTATAAAATCCTTGTAAAGTCTAATAATGTCTTGTAATTGTTTTCGTTACAAGTAATGAAAAACAATGATTATAAGAGTTTAGCCAGTGAAATTAAATAAAGTAAAAATTGTTTTCTTCAACTGCTGCACCATAAGATACCCTTATTTCAAAATTTATTTATTTATTAACTGATTCGAACATTCACTGATATAACCATATACACAGTCCAGTCGCGTTAATGTGGCCACCACCTACTTTTGGTGTCAACGTGAAATGACCAATCACAGAAGGCAGGTGGCAGCACACTACAGGGGTGTGTATATAAAGGATGTCCTAGGGCATTGTAAAGCATTTCAGTCGTTGGCGTAATGCAGAAGCGTAGCGATTTATCCGACATCCAAAAGGGCATAATTATTGGCGTTCGGGCCAAGGGTGTAAGCATATCGGAAACGTCTAATTTTGTGAACTGTTCGCGTGCCACCGTGGTAAAAGTATACCGTGCATGACAAAATAGCACTGTCCAAAATCAGCGGCGTGGCACATATGATGCACCACGGACTATAGATGACACAGGCGAACGAAGGCTACGGAGATGCGTTCGGGCGAATAGACGTTTAACTACTGAGCAACTGTCCGCCCAAGTGAACCAAAGGGCTACCAAGAGTAAACCTAATTGACTCTCTTCTTGCACGTCTCGCAGGGCTCCGCTTTGCCAAAGGTGGTTATTCTGGCTTTTGACAGGTGGTCACATTAATGTGACAGTGTATACTGATGTACTAATTTGCTGCATAATATTCAGATTTGCGTATTCACGTACACGCCCATTCACAAATACGCCTATTCACTTAAACGTCCATTCACTAATTCACCTAATCACTTGTACATTTATTCACTGGTTTGCTCATTCTCTTTTATACCCTTTCACTGATTTAACCATTGATCAATTTGCTGATGTGACCATAAATCGATTATCTGATTTTCCCATTCATTAATATGCCGGTTCACGCTCGCACCGATTAATTATTTCACCCATTCACTGATTCACATTTCACTAATACGTCCAGTAGCTAATTTGCTTATCTTTGTTTATTCACTGATTGGCTGTTCATTCACTGTTTGGATTCAATAATGCGCTTACTTATCAGCTATTTATTGGATGATATGTATTATGGTGAGCAAAAAAGTTGAAGTGTCCTAAATCCTTTAGTGGTAGAACGGAAAAATCAATTACCATCATTAAGAAATGCTTATGATTCTGAATTGATATCTTCTGCATCTTGAATGGGCCAAAAATTGTGAAAATTTAGCAAAAATATAAATGAGTAAATAAATGAAAATGCTTCGATTCCAAAGATTAAAAGAAATCATAGATTTTGTAAAATGGCTTGCGATAATGCTTCAAAGATATACGACGGAAAATCATGCAGATCGAAAAAGCTTGAAAGCGATTCTCCACGTTAGAAAATACTCTGTATCAAAATTTTGCATTTATAAATTAATATCTTCTACTGCCACAACGGCACAAATGCTTGATTTGGTACATTGAGTAAGCAGAATTGATATCTTCTGCCTCGACAGAACAATATTTTTTGAATCCCTAGAACTTTAAGCATTTAGTGAAATTTTCACCCCTTTTGGTCAATTGAGGAGGTATCAGAAGAAAGATATCAATTCAGAATTACAAGAATTGCTTAATAATGGTAGCTGATTTTTCCGTACTATGACAGAAAAATTTAAGATACTTCAATTTTTCTGCAAACCCTAACACATCATCCAAAAAATAACTAGATAAATCAGTATATTATGGATTCAACGAAATAGTTTGAACGAAGATAAGAAATTCAGCGAATGAATATATTAGTAAAAGTGTAAATCAGTGAAGGGAATCAGCGAATGAGAGAAATAATTAATCGGTATATGAGTGAATCAGCACATTATATTTGTATTTTTATAACCGTGGTTGAACAGGCAACCTGATTTCGGGCTTATGACTACCAATGTTCAACTCCGTAGCCTTGTAACTTTGAACCCAATCCAGACAAAAAGGGAACTTCTGGATCAAATATTGGGAGAAATTTGCTTCCGAGGAGGGCTTTTTGGTGGAACTAACCGCATTTGCGTTACAAGGAGAGGAAAATCACAAAAATCTCCCACGATTAGACTGACAGCAAGGGGACTCTAACCCATGATCCTTCGAATACTGAGGATATTTTACGTCGGTGCTAGCCGGGTTCGGAATTCGCATCAACCAGCCATCACTGAGATTCGAAGTCGGTTCACCTCATTAGGAGGCTAGCGCTCTATCCGGCCTAAGCCACCACGGCTCAAATCAGCACATTAGTGAATGGGTTAATCAACAGAAGATATTCATTCAGAGTTAAAAAAGATTTTGTATAATTCTCAATGATGGTATAGTTATAGCTTTTTCGCTCTACTACTATATGAGATATACTTTAAATCTTATATCATTTCATAAAAACTAATAAAAATATTAAAACTTTTTATTGTACTTGTTGCAAGGAGCCTATCATCGCTGCACTCAAACTCTGGCTTCAACCAAGGTACCGCATCGAAATAAACAGAAGCATGACTGAGAAATAAATCTTCAGATGAAGTCTTGCTGCTGCCATCACATACAAGGCCTGAATCATCTAAAGTATTTTTTCAAAAAAATGAGGAACTTCCAATGAATTTATGTTTTATATTATATCATTTAAGATTATGTCTTAGTAAACTGAAATTATCTTATTTGGTCAAAACATTTTTAGAATATTAATTTTTATTCATAGCACACTTCATTACCACTTTCTTCATTACAGCAAAATAAAAAATCTGGTAAGCAACTGTACATTTCATAAAATTGTTACACAATATTCACTGTATTCTCCAAGTAATAATTTATAATGAATGCGTAAATTAAGTTGAGGCTATTTGCTATGTCCGGTAGTTGCTTCTAATGTATCCATCCGCATGAGGAGATTAAATCAAATCTTATTACTAAATGCTGTATTTTCTAATGAATCTCAGTCTTATGTTATTTTTGAGGATTCAAAATAAACGGAACACTTAATGAAAACGGGAAGATAATGTTAATAGCTAGTTGCAGGTAAAACACGAGGAATAGAAACAGAGAATGTCATTTATTAAGGCTTTATTTATAAGCAGGCTTATTGAGCCGAGGAAATGAAAATTTATTAGAGTACACTTTCACAATTAAATATAGAGAAACTCTCACAAAAGCTATATACTATAAGAACAACAACACCAATTTCAACGTCTCATTATGTAAATAATTCTACACATATCGTACGCCTACTTTGAGTTATCAAATATTTCAGAATGTTCCAATACATGATTGTTTGCGTTTGTTTTGAATTCATCTAAGAATTATTATTTTTTTTGAAAAAGAAATTTCTATTATTATTTACATTGTTCTCAACATAAAAGAGAATGCAATATTTATGAAGCAAAATGACAGCTGAAAAGCAAACTGCAATTACGACAAAAAAGACGATTTTAAAATATTTTAAAGTCCTATCTTAAGGTATTAATTACACTTTACACATCAGAAATATATATGGAGTCCAAAAATGTTTGTATGTATGCGTGGAAACTGTTAAAAAACTCAAGAAATGCACATTAGATCAAAAATCTAAAAATAAATGCGTGAAATATTTTCAAAGGATACATTTAATGACAGCAAACTCTATCTCAATCACGAGGATACAGTGGGGTAAAATCTTAACTATGAACCCCAATTTTTGTACGGCAGATATAAGTTTTCGATGGGAAAATTTCCCGGTTTGACTTGCAGGCTGTTTGCGTTTTGGTTCTGAAATGCAGAATGAAAATAAAGTGAAACATTCAATTAAAATGAAATCGAACTTGATCCCTAGTCTCATTCATCCCCGGGAATGCAGTGGGGACAAGTAAAAAATATTAAATATGAACCCCTATTTTTTATTGCAGTTTTGGATTTTCTAGAAAAAGTACTACGATTTGATTTGCAGCCTGTTGCATTTCGTTTATAGGTGGCGCCGTGATTGCAAAATCAAGATGACGTAAATACCGTTTAAAGTAAAGACATCTTGAAAGATATGTCAGATCAAACAAATTAAAATAGAGTTGTTTGGAATTTTGAAAACAATTTTATGACCCCAAACTCTTTTTACTACGTTCTACAACCAGACAGTTGTTCTAGCCCCGGGGGTGATATAGGAAGTGGAGTTCGATAAAAAAGATGCCTCAAATACGGTTAAAGCTACTAACTTGGATTTGGATATATATTAATTTTAGATATTTTTATATACATTAAAAACCATTAATTAAGTGATTTTGAGTGTGACGTGGATTTTCTTAGCGGAATGCTTAGTACAACGTAAAAGCAAAATTCGAAAAAATAATATTAAAAAAATGTAAAATATATTAAGAATTCATAACTAACACATAAATTTTAAGTCATAGAAAATACGTTTATACAGTAAAAGAAATTTTAATGCTAAATATACGAAAAACAAAAATGCAAATCGGATTTTAAAAAAAGCGTCTTTTTCTTTAGCTGACTACAAATTTGAATTGAAATAGCAATAACAGAAATTCGAAATCAGGCACAAAAACGAAAGCTCTCTGAATAAACATATCTTTTCTTATACCGGATTTGGATTTTTGACTTCCAAAATATAGGAGGTATAGCTGCAATCTGGGAAATATGGCCCAATAGTTAGATTAGGAGAGCGGGCCAAAGTTTGAACCCTTTAATGTTAATTTTACTTTTTGCGCGACTCCCCATATTTCGAGAACTTTAAAAAAAATGAAAAAACTTTTGTATATAATTATAAATATAATTTATCTAAAGATTAGTCCATGCAAAACATTACTTTTCGTAAATATTTATCATTTTTCATCATTTTATATCTGAATAGTCGATAAAATTTTAAATTGTAAGATCTACAAATTTTTACATTATTTTAAAGAATGTAATTTCAAAATGGCAAAATACAAAATTTGAGCGAAACTGAATTTCCATGAGACATTGAATTTTAAAAAAGCAACTTTTTTAAAAGGGTATATTTATTCAGAAAAAGCACTTTTTTTGGTCTGATTTCCTATCTTAAAATTTTGCCTGCACTAATTAATTAGGATATTTGAAGTCCCCCCCTCGAACCATTACGATCTAATATTTCAAATTTTTACATTGATTGTTCTAGTATTAAGCTTCTAATTCATATACAATTCAAAATACTAACGGAAGACAAGAAAAATAATTAAAATACTTACCTAAAGAGTAACTTTTTTGCCTGCTTCTTGAACTAGTTGGTTCTTTGATTTGGTTCCGAAATCCTCTGAACAAATGCTGGTTTGGTAGAGTATACTTGCTGAAGATCTTTTGGCGACAATTGGCATCAATTGAATTGGTTACTTCAATATTGTTTATTTGTGGGAACGACTGATTATCATCTAAGTTTAAACAAGTTTCACACTCGCAAGAGCATCTTCTACTTCGCTTTTCTGTTTCTCTTTCTTCGGTAACATTATCAGATCCTATAATAAGAAAATTGAACATACATATTGATTATATATCATTTGACCCTCTTTAGGCCTCAAAACTGATAGCAACCGCCTTGCATTGATTCCACAAGGTGCTGATAGGTAGTTTGAGGTATCTGTTACCAAGCGCTCACCAACTGGTCCTGCAATTCCCTCACATTGCGAGGGGGTAGCGTGGCAGCACGAATTTGGTTTTCCAAGTAGGACCACAAATGGTCTATTGGATTTAAGTCAGGTGAATTTGGGGGACAAGACATGACTTGAAAGCCACTGGAATGTTCCTCGACGATTCGACCCTTATGACATGGTGCATTATTCTGTAGGTAAACACCATCCCCCGCAGGAAAAACTGTTGCCATGAATGGGTGAACCTGGTCTGCAACTATGTTCAAGTAGCTTACAGACGTCAGGTATTGTTCTATCAAGATGAAGATAAAATAAAGGAAAAGTACAGACATAGGAAAGAAAGGAGGGTGAAGAAAAATAATAATAAAAAAAATATCAAACAACTGGGAAAAAAAAGGATAAAATTTTTTAAAAAATCTGGAAAATAAAAGATATAATCTTTTCATCAGCCCACACGATTATATCAGCAAAAAAGAGTGCTTTCTGATATTGTATCAATATAGCCAAAGCAAAATATATCAATACAATAGTGTGAGGAGCACTCAAAATTCAGTAATTTACTAAAGAAGTTTAAACTTAGTAATTTACTCTTAATTCTGTGGCAAAATTCAAGAACAACTAGAGATCTTAAATGAAATTATATTTATGAGTTAGATAAAATTTGAGATATTTAGTTGAATTATTACCCAGATTTCTGATGCCAGTTAAAATACCATTGGCATGAACGGGATATAATTCGAACATTCAGTAGCTTTCTGGAGGATTTCTTGAGATAAAAATATCCTATTCCTGAGTTCGATCCCCACTGGCTGTAGAAAAAAGTGACGTTAAAGGTGACAAGTGCATGTTAAATCTCTTTTTAGTTAAAGATCTTTTTATTTTCTCTGACAAGATTATCATCTATTTCACTTCCAGAAATTCCACTAGTAATTAATGTTATACAGCAATGTATTGCAGAGTTAAAATGCTTAAACCTCAATTAAAAAAGTATTAAGCAGTTCTAATAATTTTTGTCAGAATAAAAATTGGCTTAACCCTTACTCCAGTTTTTATTGACGTTTAGAAGACTTTTTTAAAAATTAGAAAATTGAGTGTATTATGTCTGTAAACCCCAGCTTTTAATTTATAATTTTTTATTTATTTGAACTAATGAAAGTTACCAAAAAGAGTAAGTATATATGACACCAAGAACTATTATTAAAAAATCGCCAAATTAGTACCCCCAGAGGTATTGATTTCTTATGGAAAATGGAGGACTTTGTGACCCTTTAGATTCAACGTGTACCTGCCACCATTTACTAAACGTGGAGTCTTCGCCTGGCGGGAATCGAACTCCCAACCTACCAGGCTATCCCGACCGTGAATAGTAATAATAATAACGCACGAACACTTATTATTCAGTTCAAATTGAAATTCAGTAATCTGTTTTGATTATATTGGTTTCACACAAGAACAACTGGTGTGTTAATATTTCGAGAAATGGAACATATTCACTAAAATCAGAGCCTAGAATTTTCATGCCCTGGTTCTAGAACTGAGATAAATATGCCCGAAATCGAAATACCAACGACACGAAAAAGAAGCAATTAGAATATTTACCTGAAAGACAGATTTCTTGCTGATTTTTTGTGCAAATTGTTTCCTTGTATTGATTTCGAAAACTTTTAAAATCTTCACACTGGTGTTCGTTGGATAGGGTGTATTTGCTAAAGTTCTTTGGACAGCAAGTTACGTTGGTTCCTACAAGACTGTCTGTTTGTTCTGTCAAAGATTGATTTCGATCGAAATTTAAAATCGTTTCGCCCTGACAAGAACATCTTCTATCTTTCTCTGTTTCTTTGCTTTTGATAACATTAATAGATTCTAAAAATAAAAAAAAATTGAAAGAATAAAACACGCTTTCTGTAGTTTCGAAATTAAAAGTGCTCCCAGTAACTACGAGCGAAACTAAAACTTCCTTTAACTCCTTCCTTCTCGCTCCCTTGAAAATGACGGGGTGAGGTTTCTCCCTCTATTTCTCGCTCCCGTGATATTCTCCGGGCTGGAGTGTTCAGTAGTAACGCGCCAATAAGAATAAAACTAATTCAATTCTTTTGTGCGGAAAACATTTTATTTCTCACTTTACACACCAGATGGCAGTACCAGGATATTTTTAAGGTGTTTGTAGATAGTTAGTTTATTTTAAACTAGATGTCAGCACTAATCAAATACGTGTATAAAAAAATAGACACTCTTATGACCGTTTTCTTGAAAATTAACCGATCGTTAAGGAGTTAATAGAAATTATAAATTTTAGAGACTCTAAGCATTTGGCTTTATATTTTTCCATTAGTAAATAAGAAAAATGCTTGTTCAAAAAAAATAAAATAATAATCAATTATAATCTTTCTCTCTATATGTTTCTCTTGTGTAGAACCATAAACTCTGGTATTTCTCTTTCACCTTGTTCCTGACGGAGGTTTTCTCTATGCAGATGACAGTACATTAAAAGGCGTTTATAACATCCTTTTGATGATTAGAATGCATTTATTTACACTAACGCTCCTTTATAGTGGGAGCTGAACTGTCCGCCATTATGGAACAAAAAAGTTCGATAGTTACGTAGTGTTAACATTAGCCTGACTGTTTGAAGCTCATTTCGATACTTAAAATTATTGATATGGGTAATTTTGCAGCGATGAATTGGACAAATACTTTAAAAAAAGGTTTTCTAATGTTAAGATTTCAATCCGATCTCGAAAGAAAGAAGAAATGGGTAATAAGTTACTGAAGATAGAACTGGTAGCATGGAAGTGGAGCTCGTTTTTTTGAAGAAAATATTCATTTATTTATAATTTATTAAATTTATTTACTTATATATGCAGTATATAAACGACCTTAAGTTGTTAGAATTTGTTTCTGAATGCTTGGTTTTGTTTGCGTCTTTAAAAATAAATTAGCGAATACCTTTTCTGGGTTACATGAATTATTTAGTTCTAATTATATATCAAATATAAGAATTTTCATTGAAAATTGCATGAAATATTTATTTAAAATATGACCTATAAACAATATTTTTTTTTCCAATGGCAGGCACTGAATTTGAATCTTTTGCCTATACTATGCCAGAATTGTTGCTCATTTCGCGTTACCCAGTGGGCACCTCTGTGAACCAAAGTCACGGAGGCGAGAAGCATTGCCCACTCCACACTGCCACAAACCCGTTTATAGGGTGGGCCACATTCACACATCATACACACACACAACAGAGGACAGCACAAAGAGAGAGAGAAACATCCATGCCCAGAGCGGGATTCGAACCCGCAGCCAATGGCTTCGCAGTCAGGCACGCTAACCGCTCGGCCACCTGACCGGCCTATAAACAATATTTAATAATTCATTTAACAATTTTCAGTGTTTGTGTGGCATAAAACTAAGCAAATGTAGGTCAGAGATTGGCTGAATAAGTATTCGGCAAACTTATCTTAGAATCGTCAAGTTTTTTTGTTTACTTTTAAGTGTTTCCTTCTGTTATGTTAAAATTGAATATTAACCTGTGTCTTATTGTATTACATTTTGATTCGCTAATATGTCAGATAATTACTTTTTTAATCATGGCTCATTTAAGTTTTAAAGCTCATTTATATTTTATTTTTATTTTCGGTTCATATTTTAAAGTTCATTTAAATTTAAAATATTTAAGTAATTGGTCCGTTCAAAAACCCAGATAATTCTTCACTTCAAGATAATATATAGATTTTTAAATCATCGCATTGCTTCAAGTTAAAGTAACATAAACTGTGGCATTTTTTTTTAAATTTTAATTGGCGACAGAGCTTCAAAAAACAACGTTGCATTTGGCGATACACTATTGTTTCGAGTTAACATCTTTCAAAATATAATTGTACAAAGAAGAAATAATTAGAATTTTTACCTAAGCAGCTTTCTTGATTATTTCTTAATCTAGAAATTTCCGTAGGTTTATTAGTTTTTTCTGGTGTTTTAAATGTGTCTAATCCTTCCTTTTGAAACCTATTGGGTACGGTATATTTACAATAATTGTTTAGGCTACGACTAACAGTGCTCGCATTAGTTTCTTTGAAGCTACCAACTTCTGGCATAGAATGATATCTTCTGATGTGATACGTTCCACTTTCTTTAGAATACTTTCGATTTTCAATTCTCGCTTCATCTGCAATAATATTAATAACTTTTATAATTTACAAGGATTTAAACATTTATTACAGATAAAATTTTAATAACAAAATAAGTTGTATGCACAGTGCGCTACATAAAAAAAGAACTCACTCAAAATAGATTTTGTTCGAATGATCGGATTTTCACTCACTAAGCGCCAATCTTAAGAGTTCAAAGGAATGAGTTCAATTATGCTGATTAACTAGAGTCAATTATATTAAGTTACAGAGACAAAAACGTACTGTGTTTGAATTTACATACCTTTTTTGACGTATTGGGTTTCATACAATCAAAATATGGGGTGGTAGCCGAAATTTCTAAAATATTGTCTGGAAAGCTGTCGAAAGCTTGTGCCCTTTATCTTTTTTGTTAAATTCACTTTTTACGTATTTGGCCATAATTCAGAAAGTTTTTAAGTCAATCAAAAATTTTTACGCGAAATTATGAAATTCATTTATTTAAATATAATTCCATGCAAAAAAACAATTTTTTTTTTACTATTTTATATAATGAAAGTAGAAAACTTTGTGATTTGGGAACTAGACATTTTTTTTGTTTAATTTTTTGCACTGCAATTTTTAATGACAAAATCCAAAATTTCGACGAAATCGGTCAAATAGTTCTTGAGAAATGAAGGTTTAAAAATATAGCTATTTTAAAATTTTTATGACTCTGACACTATTAAACCGATTTCGTCCCAGTTTAGTATTAAATCATTTAAAATTATATAGTTCAAAATGGTGTCTAAATTTCCATGCCAGGCAATATTGAATGTTTAGGATCCCTATTAAATAAAATGATAAAGAAATAATGAATGATTATGGATGATTTTTTACATGGAATTATTTTTGTATTAACGAATTGTATAATATTGACTGTCCTCCAGGAATTACTAAATTATATGCTACATCGCTTTTTTTTTCCTAGTTATATAAAAAAACATGGCGGATATACTGGATGTGTTTAAATATTCTATTTTCTCCCACACCAGGTGAGACAGTACACGAGTTACTCTTTCTAAATATGTATTTGCATATGTCTCAAATTATGGTACTCTCGTTATATTTAATTCCAGTATCAAGGCTATTTAATTCCAGTTCTACACTTCACGTAGATTAAGTTTCCCATAAGTGATTTCTGGTAATTCTATCTCTAAAAAAGTGGATCTCTTTAAATTCAGTCTCTATAAAAAGTGGGACTCTGTATATTTAGTTTCCAAAATGTTGACTGAAATGTAAAACTCCTCGATTAATCCATCCTTACTCTTACAGTACGCAAGACATTAGAGAAAAAAAATGTGTCTTTGATATTTTATGTCTTAAATAAACGATTTTTAAGTCGTCCCCAGAAACATTTCTCCCAAAAGATTTAAATGCAGCAAAAAATTCGTGAAAAAAAAAAACATTAGAAAACTCGCATTTATAGTTGATCGGAACCCCCAAACAACTCTAATACTGAAAGTAATAACTTACATTGTTCTGGAGATTGAGGAGGATAACAGATTTTCTTTGCTTTTCTATTTTCATTTCTGAAGATATGTGAAAAATATTCGAAAATAATTCGACCAAATCCGGACATAAAGAACGGGTGGCTGAAACATCAAATATATATGTGTGTATATAAAATATTCCAATTATAACTTCTTTTTGCTTGATCTTAATTGAAGACACACAATTTTTCGAAAAATAGCATATGTTTCACAGATTAAGTTAAATTGAAGAACAAACTGTAAGTCGAATTATATAGATTCCTCTCTCTATTTTTATTGTTTTCTATGTTTCTGTCACAATGATAAGAATTTGCATAATAGGCAAGCGAAATTCATTCCATGAGGTATGGGGCAGAATAAAAAAAGACAGAAAAATAAACGTTTTAAATGGTTAACATCTTTATTGTTTGGATTTCCAGAAGAGCTGTAAACGCGGCTACAACGCACCAATCTCAAAAGAAAAGTTATACTATTTCTAGATAATGATATTAAAACGGCACTACAAACTCTGTCAGATAGGCATGGTGGCTCAAAGGATAAAGTACTCACCTCCCAATGTGGTGCCCAGGTTCGAATCCCGGCGATGGCTGGTCGATACGCATTCTGTATCAGGTTAGCACCCAGAGCCTGACTAAGGCAGGGGCATACGGGCAGTTGCTCCAGGCCCCCACATGAGAGGAAGCCCCCAAATCACAAAGTTTATTTTAGGATTCCTTCTTAAGTGAACTTTTTTTAAACAAAATATCAGTACAGTGTAAAATCCGTTTGTTTTATGTTAGCTTCTTCATTAATCCATAGTATAAACACAAAAAAATCTATTTCGTAAATCCATGTCTTTCTAGGGCGGAAATCAGTTAAAATTTTTGCAATTGCGATGGATAAATTTGGTCAATGAAAAGCCTTTTTTTTTACATATCAGGCTTCTGATTGGCTTAATTGAGCTATCATAATTGCGAAAAGTTAGCTGAATTCCGCACTAATGTCAGCAAGGATATGAATTTATCGCAGCTAATGACAAAGTTAAAAATCAGAAAACTGCATGCGGCATGATGGACATAGAATCGTCAGAAAATCAATAAAATGGACAGAACGATGTTTTGTCTGACCATTGGAAAGGGGGTGACTTTATAGCTGTTTTAGGTTCTGGTCAATTTTCTTCTTATATAATGAGATGAAAAATTTAAATACCTCCATAAAGTTCGTTTCTTCATTACTGAAGCAGAGGGGGGACCCGTTGCTTTGACCCGTGCCCCAATTAGGCTAAATCGGGAGCTGTTAGCCCCAACCACATTGCTGACGTAAAAATATCCTTAATGGAAGACGGATCATAGGTTAGAGTCCTCTCGCCTGCAGGCTCACCATGGGAATTTCTCTTCTCAATGTAACGTGAATGCGGGTTAGTTCCATCAAAAAATCCTCCACAAAGGCAAATTTCTCCCAATATTTGATCCAGGAGTTCCCTTGTCTTCTGAACTGGATTTAAAATAACAAGGCCACGGAGTTGGACATTGATAGTTGTAAATCAGTATCGCTCAGTAACGCTCTATCAGTTCAGTATCGCTCTATCCCCTGAGCTATCGCGGCTCCTTGAGCCTATTTAACACAAATGTAGCCTTGTTTTCCGATATAATATGCAATTTATTCAGACTGATTATTTTTATGTTTTAATAATGTTTTATTTTCGGCGCCATTTTATTTGGCCGGGCACTGCACTTTATTTTTGTCAAATGCTCGACTTTCCTTCTGAGTAATACGAATCACTCAGTGACACTGAGATGGCTGAATCGACTATCAATTAGGTTTGAGTAAAGCAATCACAGCGACAACTTTTCTTAATTGATTTTCAATTTCTTACATTTAACTACTTTAGTATTTTTCCTTTTTTCTTTAATGGAATCGATTCGTAAAGTAAAATATTGAAACATTAGATTAAGCTGATAAACAGAAGGGATGATATATTTTTACAAAAATTAATTGACCAAAAGCTTTATTTTCCGTCTGTTCTTCAATACTACTTTTTCTTTTAGGTAATTAATTGGTATTTAACTCACCTTTGCTTAGTTTTTATTCACAATTAACTAATAAATTAATGTTGAAAAGCTTGTGTTTTTATTTTTCAAAATTAGCCTTGTGTATTCGACAAATGCTGCCAAAATCTACAAACTAAATAGTATATCCAATTAATTTGTGGTATCTGTGATCTCGGAAAATTCCCTCAAGCGAGCTTTCTAAAATGAGGTAAACTTAACAGAAATTACAATTGTGTATCACATGACACAATTAAGGCAACGATCTCTACAGATTGAGATGCTAGGATATATTTACAATTCATCTTATTTCAGATCGTGTTTCATTTTTTCCACGGAATGGGCAGTATTTGTATAGGTCGTTTCAACTTCCTGCAGAAGATTCAGGTAGAAGAATTTCTGCTGCTGTAAACTTAATTGCTCAAATCCGCATCTACACGATCAAATAATTGCATATCAATATACGATAACTCCCCAAAGTACTTTTTTTTCCATATCTGCATCAAATATGAAGAACACATTTTTTCACAAAACCACGATGAAAAAATTAAATTCAGAACTAATGAATAATCCGAGTATATACGAACCCGGGACGTCAAAAAAGGAATAATCACGTCAATGCTATGACGTCAGAAGAGGACCTCAAGAGGTTTTTTTAAATTTTTTTTTTAAAGATTGATGGTGAATACTCACCAGAATTCAGGCTCATTTAATTCAAGGGCTCTAACCAGAAAAAGATACCTGCAAGTAACGTCACCGTAGATAAATCGTATCGTTTGCGGATTCAGAAGCCAATCGGGTTCGACTCATCATTCACAGGTAACCAATTATATCTGATTTAAATCATATGGTTCGACATAATCACTTCACATCTTCTCAAGTAGCAAGTACTTAACTGAATTGTAAATTTCAAGAGCCAGAGCCGGAACAAGCAATATATATATATGCGTGTGTGTATTTAAAAACTCGTAATTAAGTAATCTGCCAATTTTCTATTTAGTTAAACCTTGTAGAAAAATGGAAGCCCATTGATTTTCATTAAGACGCTATTTAAGAGAAAACATGTTATTTTGTTTCTATACTGTAGTTAGCCATGAATATAATTGTAGTTTATTCATATTTAGATTTGGATGTATTTTCTAATCTAAAGGTGATTGTTTATTTTCATAACTGATATATCACAATTCAAAATAACTTATACAATATCACAGTAGCAACATTACTCTATTAGATACCTATTACAATTGATTAAGCATCACTAGCGTCAATATATTGTCCCCTTTCCGAAATAGATAAGTACCCTATAACTATTTTCGTTATTATTACCCTTAGAAATAGGTAACTTGGAACACATGCAAGGAATACTATGAAATTATTTGAAGAGACATAAGAATGAACAAAATGTAACGTCTGTGTAATAACATTAAAGTACAATTTCCATTATTCCCGCAGAAAAACTTACTTTGAAGAGCTGTCTAGATCTCTGAATAATGACCAACCTGAAGCTAATTAATTTGATACAATTATAAGTTTACTAATCTTATCAAAGTTAGAGCATTATTAAAGTTATATTTAAAAAAAATGTCGTGGAAAATAAGAGCTTATCGCGGTATTGATCCAGCCCTAGAGCCTACAGACTGAACTAAATCACTTGTATATTACCAATCGATCAATTCAGTAGTTTCGTGATTGAAGGGCAACTAAACGTTTTTTGAAAACACAACTGTGAAAACGAGCGGTTTCGGTCCTCTCTAACATGGAGGTAGTGGGTTCGAACTCCGCCTTAACCCTGGAAGTGTCTTTATGATATCTTTCTCTGAATTGTACTGTTTGACTTTCTACTTGACAATGGCTTGTAAGCCGTGCTTATGTAACAGAGCACACAAACCTGCATCTATGTGAACCAATAAACAATAACAACGTATGCTGTTAATGGTCTTGATACGCAATAACAAGGAAAGTTAAGATTCACAAAGTGTTGATGAGAGCTAAATGAAATTTAATAAGTCAATAGGATTACAGAGCTTCCTTCTATACAGGAAAAGCTTCCGCAGTGGACTGATCGTTGAGACACGGTTCCCAGCAGATCACCGAAGTCAAGCATCACTGGCTGCCGTCAGTGTGCGGGTGGATGACCACTTGGATCAGTCTGAGTGGGGACCGAGGGTGTGCGGTATGGGTCCTCGTTAAACTGTTCTACCGTAAAGTGCTCGACTTCGCGTGCAGATCGTCGGGCTACCGAAGTGGGGATGCCATCCCCTCTGCAAAGGGTCAAAATTGTGATGGTATGTCTTCGGATCATCTCCAGGGATGCCTCTCAGACCGTCGCCAATAGCCCATTGTGCAGCTCTAGTGCGACGTAAATCAATTACAACTATATAGGAAAAGCGTGATGATTTTACTTTAATCGAAGCATATTTATTAACTTAAGTGGAAAATGCAATAAAATAGGGAGAAAATATTTTGGACTTACTTTGTTATTGTAGCAAGCCCGCAATTCCGTTTAATTTCTATAGAAGATTTTAATCACATTAAAACACGTAATTAACGTGAGCTTTTCTTTGAAAATGCGAAAAATGGTTTTAGAAATCAATTAACTCGCCAAAACGGCACAGGATAGCATCTTTACTTGATCACCAGTTGTTGTTGGCAGCTCATTAATAATTGCTGATGTATGTACGAAGTATAGCTCAAAATTTAAACATTTTTCTACTGACCAGCTGTAGACTTTTCAAGGGCTCTCCGGTTGCGAAGTTGGTTTAAGCCTCGCTCACATCGTTACAGAGAGCCGGGGATAGTGAATTCGATCCCGATTAAACAGGCGTGTATATGCAACAAGGTGAATGCTACGAGAAAGTTTGGAGAGAGGGGTACCAGCTTAAGCGCTGTCCACTTTGTTCTGACCGTTAAGATAGAGCTCTAAAAATAGGACTAGATGCTTGGCCATGGTTGGGTAATGATGTAGCATTCTTAAAATGGCCACTAGGGAGGTTCTACAACACATTAAAAAATAATAGATACATACCATGCCACCCCTCAAGTTTTTTAGACTCGTGGATTCTGGAAGCATTGATTTTATGCGGGTGCTCAACCACTACAAATTTACAATTCACAAAATTTCACAATTTACCAAATTTACAAAAATCACAATTTACAAAATTCCGAATTCAATGTTGAATTCGGTTATTTTC